GATGTCTATGCAAATCGCACCAAAAGTAGTACATGTACTATTTTAGAAATCGGTGCAGCTCCGACCAAGTTGGAACTACACGATTTGACTGTTCTAATTGCGGACAATAGGATGTGAACTGGCATACGATATTCAAGTCACATGGCATGCAAATCGCATGCCAAGTCGCACCCGATGTGACCGGGGTGTTAGGCCTCGTTCAGATGGTCTCTTGCACCCATGCTGCATAAGGCTGTGTTTGTTTTGGTGTCTGCATCCACCCTGTAGGGAGGTAGCCTATGGAAGTGGAAGCAGATGCAGCGGCTGCATGTCAAAGTTCGTCAGTCAGGCAGGAAAGCCCTAAACACGGTTGCTGCATGGCCCTCTTCACTTGAATAGGTTGTGTTTGGTGGCAGTACTGGCTGCATGTGACCTGTGGTGCAATTTTCTTGCAGCGACCATTCCATTGTGTACTAACATGGCTGGCGGTCATGTTAACTTGCTGCTGGGAGTTCAGTTACCTATTTTTACTGCTGCTCATGTAGATGCGGTCTCAGGCTCATTTAACATTTTATGATTTAGAATTGCAGAATCGCCATGATTCTGCCCACGATTCCAAATCATGAGGCAACCACTGCACAATGCGCAGCACACGTTTGGGAGCCATGTCCCATAACCACTTCCTATCCGGCCCATGTATATAAATGGCCGGATGGGAGCATTGCAGTTTATAAACGTCCTCCCCGCTCCCCGCCTGTGCGTGCTCCCTGGGAGTGCGCGGCACCGTGATCCGGTGCCCAATGTGTCCTCCAGACACAGCGGAACACCTATCACTGTACGGGACCACTGTGTGAGGTCCCGCTCATGTGATCACTGACTGGCCAATCAGTGATCATATGAATAGTAGTAAACAAGATATCACTTCCTGACATCATTGCTTACTACAATGAACCAGCAAACACAAATGCTCCTGCGCTTGGGGATGGACTCGATGCAGGCTGCAAACCACATTAAGAATGTCCTGGAACATGCACACCTTGCTGCCCTCAAAAAGCTCGGGGGAATCCAAATATACTGAATGAGGAAAGAACAAAGAGAGGGCACACAGGCCTAGTGCCCAGAGCCCCGAGGAAGAGGCAAGTCCTCGAAACGCGTCAGTCTACTGGATGTCTACATTCCCCATTACGGACTGTTACTCAGCGCGGTGTTGACCCAGCTGTTCTTTTATGATGTGCCTTGACTTTATTATCGTTTGTGAGTACAACACCTACTTTATTTCTTATTAAACATTTTTTATGGTAATGAACTAGGCCTGTGCGCCCTCTCTTTGTTCTTTCCTCATTCAGTATCATTGCTTACTACGTGTGAATGATCACAGAAGTCACATGGTACAAGGCTATTCACAACAGGCTTGTACCATGTGACAAGCTGTGACCAATCACAGATCGCACAGTATTTCTCAATGGCTGCAAGAATGCAGCCAGAGAGGAGAAATTATTGCTTTTACAGCCTTTAAGGGTGTAAAAGCAATCAGTGTAAAAAAAAAATCATCATCCCCCCACAAGTAGTACAGTGTCACTATGGTGACACTGTATTGTTAGGGTGACAGTATGTTAAAAAAAACCCCATAAATAATATAAAAAAATAAAATAAAAATGTAAATTTTTTTTAAAAAGTTATAATTTTTGTTTATAAACTAATTTGGGCTATTTTTTTTTCACTAAAAAGATAGATGAATACGTTTTGGCCAAGATTTATGAAGAAAGATTATTTATTTGCAAAATTTTATAAGAAAAACACTTTTTTTGCAAAATGTTTTTTATTTATATAGCAAAAAAATAAAACTCCCAGTGGTGAATAAATACCACCAAAATAAAGTTTTATCTGTCTCAAAAAAATGCTACAAAATTCATATGGGTACAGTGTTGCATGACTGCGCAATTGTCATTCATAGTGTGATAACGCTGAAAGCTGAAAATTGGCCTGGATAGGAAGGGGGTGAAAGTGTTGGACTTGAAGTGGTTAATGGCACCCCAAACACGATGCAAGCCTGCTGCACAACAATCTGCACAGCAATTGCATGTTTCAAAATCGCATGAAGCTTGTCACCCGGGGACAAAGGCATGTAGGGAAGCCCATTCAAGTGAATAAGCTGGCCCTATGTGACATGCAAAATGGCTACACAAGATTGTGTAGCAGGCAGGGGCGGACTGACCATTCAAGAACTCGGGCACTGCCCGAGGGCCCGGGGTCAGTAGGGGGCCCATGAACTGCCCCTGGTACCTTTTTATAGGCTTTTTTTGAGTGTGGGCAAGGACACAGGGGCCCCATGATCCCCTACTGCCCGGGGGCCCCATGAGTTGTCAGTCCGCCCCTGGTAGCAGGAACACTCATTCGTTCTATGCAATGATGTGATCAAGATCATGTTAAAGGTTTGATAAGCTTTTATTGATTGGATTTACATATTTTATCTTGCTGGCCTCATGTAGTGCAAAGAAAATACAGAAAGTGAACGTATTCTTCCCAGATGCACAAAACAAGTAAAAAGCGCTCCAATCAGCACCTGCACTCCATAGGCTTGTGCCCAAGACAGCAGCCATCGAAGAAATGTCTCTTGACAGCTGTATTTACTGCAAAGTGACACATTCTCTTGTCTGTTGTGTGTAACATTTTCATATCACAGAGGAGACAACAGCACCAGAGGGAAGCAAAGTAGGTCACCATGCTGTATATATAAGGAGCCATCCCTCCTAAACCTCTAATGCTGAGCATTGCTGATGGTCAGGAAACAATGGATCATCGTACACTTTTGTGGCTTTCTGAGACACCTCAAACCCAATTGCCGAAGCCCAGGAATGTTTGAGATTGCATACGAGCACCAGGGTCTCGGAGCAGTTGTGAAGGCGGAAAGGTTCAGTGGTGGAATTATTCCCCTCACCCTCCTGTAATTACTGCTCTATAAATAAAACTTTCCAAAGTCCCAACCTGTTTCATTGTCTTGGAGATACACGGCCGGAAAGTGAATAAAGTGCAGTTATATATAGATCACACCTTGCCGGCCTGGAAAGCAGTAGTGGTCCATGCTTTGAGCAGTGAGGACCGAATTTCATGTCAACACACGATATTTACAATTATCCACGTCTTTCGTCACTACTTGAAGGAAAATACCACTCTTAAAGTGTTACTAAACCCACAACAGTAAAATCAGTCTGTATATGCAGTAAAGCATGCTTGTCATACTCACTAAGGAACCTAAGGGGTTAATCCTCTGCATTGTGTAAAAAGGCCATTTGATCCTGTCTTCTCTGATCCTCCCCTTCTTCTACAGTCCCCAATTCATCTTCTGATAGAACAGAGCATTGGGGGACAAGCTGCACATGCTCACTTTGGTGTGTATTGCTAGAGAGGCAAAATGGGCCAAAAAAAGAGATTTAAAGTGTTACTAAACCCACAACAGTAAAATCAGTCTGTATATGCAGTAAAGCATGCTTGTCATACTCACAATGGAACCTAAGGGGTTAATCCTCTGCATGGCTGTTTGATCCTGTTTTCTCTGCCCCTCCTCTTGTTCAAATGTCCACCTGATAAGACAGACTGAACCCGTAGCCACATGCACATGCTCAGTATAGTGTGTATTGCTAGAGGTTTTTTTTTTTCTTGGGGGAGTGCATGTGATCAGCACAGGGCCAATCAGCACTGTCCACACAGAAGGTCAGGGGTCCTGCAGCCTCATAGGACAATCAAGGGAGAATGAAAATGAAAACTCGTCCTACAAGCTTTAACCAGTGCTCTGCTGGACACTGGTAGACGTCACAAGACTACTCTAACTGCTGATAAGAAAAGGTATTTGGCAGTTTATAATTTTTATTTATGGAACTCCGGCCTAAACATTTTTCTCAGTTTTGGATAGAGTAGAGAATGTCCCTCAGATTTATATTGCTGTCTATTCGCCCATTAGAGAGATATCACCTTGCTTACTTGTAGTCACCTGGACAGAAAGTGAAAGTATAACTACAGCTGGCCATACACGTGTAGATTTTCGGATGAGAATATTCGTAAGAAAAATTGTATGAACATTTTTAAACATTCGATGAATGGACGAATGTCATTCGAAAATTGTTTTTTGCTTTTAACATTGGACTTTAAAATGAATTTAATTTCTGAACGATAACCACATACACTGGTCGAAAACTCGTTTGATCAAGAAAAGTTTTCCTTTCTGTTGCTTTTTCCCTTCACTGCTGTTGAAAATGAACATCGATTTGAGCCCACTAACAATTAGAAAATCAAACGAATATTCTTGAACCGAGACTCCGGAAACAAAATCATGAGAAGCATGATGCCCAAAAATGGCAATTGCGCGTTTTCACATTGTCACACAGCCTGCAGTTTGAAATGCCCTACTGTGAAAGGAGCCTAAAGGCAAAACATTTTTTTTTTTTTTCTTAGTTTTGGATAGAGTGAAGAGGAATTAGAACCCCTGTCAGTTTTTATTGCTGTCTGTGCCCCGTTAGGGAGATCCAACCTCTCTATTCGTTCTGTTTACCATTATCATTGAAATTGAAAGCAAAAGAACATTTTCAAAATTTTGGGTTATCCCCAGAAAAGTAAGGAATTCCCTTAATTTGTTGCGATTTCCTCTCACTTCCTGTTTGGCTATGGGACAGGAAATGAAGGGAAATCTCTGCATTTGGACACAGCAAAAAAAGCCCAAAATGAAAAAAAAAATTTTGGCCTTTAGTTCTACTTTAAGTGAGTCTCTCCAATAATGATACAGACAGCAATAGAAGGACTCCTTTCTTTGTATTTATACAGGGTTTATTTAGATTTTTGCATAAAAAAAGCACAGTGTACACTAAGTGTATGCAAGCTGAACATACTTCAGAAACAACCTATGTTACAGTAAAGGTGGCATCAGCAATTGAAGGACTTCTTAATGGAATGGGGAAGCATCAGTTTTTTTTTGGGAGTCTCTGTCCTCACTTTCTACAGTGGACAGCTGTATGTCCATTCCTCACTTACCTCTAGAACCATCAAAACAGTTTTGGCTTAAAGTGTTACTAAACCCTGGACCCTGCATTCACTATATCTGGTCTCCCACAGTACACAGAACATGGAAATGCCATTATTTTAGTAAATATAAACTGCTAAATACCTTTTCTCATCAGCAGTTAGAACAGTCTTGTGATTTCTATCAGTGTCTGGCAGAGCAGGAGGAGTTTTCATTCTCCCCTGATTGTCCTATGAGGCTGCATAACCCCTGACCCTCTGCCTGGACAGTGCTGATTGGCCCTGTGCACCCTACCAAGAAAAAAAAAAACTCTGGCAATACACATCAAACTGAGCATGTGCAGCTTGTCCCCAAGGCTCTGTTCTATCAGCAGATGTATTGGGGACAGTAGAAGAAGGGGAGAATCGGGGAAGACAGGATCAAACATCCTTTTTTACACAATGCTGAGGATTAACCCCTTAGGTTCCACAGTGAGTATAACAAGCATGCTTCACTGCATATACAGACTGATTTTTATGTTGTGGGTTTAATAACACTTGCATGGCAGGAATACTGGGTATCATTTTAATCACACTGAGCATGTGCCGCTTGTCCCCAAGGCTCTGTTCTATCAGCAGATGGATTGGGGACAGTAGAAGAAGGGGAGGATCAGAGAAGACAGGATCAAACATCTTTTTTACACAATGCTGAGGATTAACCCCTTAGGTTCCACAGTGAGTATAACAAGCATGCTTTACTGCATATACAGACTGATTTTAATGTAGGTTTAATAATACTTTTATGGAAGGAATACTGGGTATCATTTTAATGAAAGCTGCAGGTTTATAAAAATTAAAAAATAGAAACATTTACTCTAGTTTAAAAGCTGGAACAGGTCACATAACCTGTGAGATGTTAGTTAAACATTTATCTTGAGTTACACTTGAATATTTTTCTGTTATTACAGCACAGGGATTGAGCACGTGATTATAGCAGATAGTATTATTTTTAAGTATTGGGTTTTTTGTGTTTTTTTTTTAGTAAAAGTAAAGCTACACCCAGGGGCGGACTGACCATTTGGAAACTCGGGCACTGCCCGAGGGCCCGGGGTCAGTAGGGGGCCCCATGAGATGCCCCTGGTACCTTTTTCATAGGCTTTTTTGAGTTTGGGCAAGGACACAGGGGCCCCATGATCCCCTATTGCCCGGGGGCCCCATGAGTTGTCAGTCCGCCCCTGGCTACACCTTAAGTAACTATATTACCTATTGTTTGTGACAACATGGATAAAGTTCCTCCCTCTTATCACCTACATTTGTATAGAGATGCATAAGCATTATACAGATATACCAAAAAGACTAAACACTAATAGTCAACAAATCAAATAAAAAAATATATTTAAAAAATGTATATCATCCTATTTATAATATACAATATAAACAATCAAATACAAAAGACAGCAATACAGAGTAGAAGAGGACATCACATACAAGCAAAGTATCCAGCTCCATTCCATATGAGATACATCACAGCAGCCGATCCAATTTCTATAGTAACAAAAGCAACACTCTGAGATTCTATATTACAGTAAAAGCACTTTTTATCAGTAAGCTGTGTGTCCTGTTAATGTGTATTTGGGCATTGTGTAAGGGAGAGGACTTGAAAGGAAGAACAGGACCATCTGCTCCTCAGGGAAAACAAGTTCCACCAATAAAGAGCTGGCGTAAAAGTGAGAGAAAGATAAATTGAGGAATGAGTAGTGCAAGATAAAGAGATAAACGTGGAACGTTGGGAGGAGGGAGAAGGGGATACCCGAGTAACACAGAAAAAGTTTTTATTTTATTTTAAGCAAAATAGAAAAAAGGCAACATTGTTCTACTTTTTTAAATTGTGAAATAAATTGCAAAACATATATAATTTGATTTTATTAAATTAGACCTTGAATGAACAATGCAAGGTCAACCTATCTGTTGGTCCCCAGAAAAAAAATATACATTCAGGGTCGGTTCACACTATAGAAACGCAGTCCAGATGTGTTCTGGATGCGTTTCTGCAAGCGTGTTTTTGACATGCTTTTGATGTTTTTTTGACACGTTCCTATGCGTTTTTAATGCTTTCCGGTTCTTTTTTTCTCCCTCTCTTTTTCTTCAATTCAAATAGGGACATGTGCATTTCAGTGCGTTTTTTGCGTTCCAATGCGTTTTTAATGCGTTTTACTGTGTTCCAGCACAGTTCTGTTGAATACAGTAATATGTTCTGTGATGGAACATGATAAAACACATCAAAAATACACCAGAACGCACTGGAATGCACATGTCCCTATTTGACATGTTCTGTGCTGTATATGTGAAAGTGTTTTTAAACAAAATAAAATAAATAAAATAATTTTTTATTTATTTATTTTGTTTAAAAACACTTTCACATATATAAATTTGTCACACCTTAGGGGAAGGTGTTGTTTGTGTTGTGGGGAATTTTAATCACAATTGTTTAGGAGGTGGTTTTTGATTTAACCTCTTGCCGATCGCGCATAGCTGAATGACGGCTTCACCGCGGCCGGCCAGTTCTGAGTGGACGTCATATGACGTCCTCCCAGAACGCGCTCTCCTGCGCGCCCCAGGGGGCGCGCACCCGGCGATCTCCGTGATCGCTGTGTCCTACGGACACAGCTGATCACGTGATGTGGTGAAAGGCCGATCCCACCGGCCTTTTACCATGTGATCAGCGGTGTCCAATGACACGCTGATCACAGGGAAATGCAAGTGCCGGTTCTCGGCTGCACTTTCCTCACGCTGTCAGATCGTGAGGAAAGTACTGCCGAGAACCGGCAGTTGTCAGAGCGGGGATCGGCACCGATCATCAGGGCACTGATGATCAGTGCCCTGATGATCGGTGCCCAGCAGTGACACCCGCAAGTTCCGCCCAGCAGTGCGCCCACTAGCCCCGCCCACCCGTTCCCAGCAGTGCCCCCACCTATGCCCAGCAGTGCCACCTACCTGTGCCCAGCAGTGCCACCCACCTGTGCCACTCTGCAGTGCCACCTACCTGTGCCCAGAAGTGCCACCTACATGTGCCCAGCAGTGCCGCCCACCCACCAGTGCAGCCCACCAGTGCCACCCACCAGTGCCCCACCAGTGCAGCCCACCAGTGCTGCAGCCCAGTCAGTGCTGCCAGTGCAGCCCAGTGCTGCCAGTCAGTGCCGCCAGTCAGTGCCCAGGGGTTGTGCCAGTGTGCCAGTCAGTGCCCAGAAGTGATGCCAGTCAGTGCCCAGAAGTGATGCCCAGTCAGTGCCGCCTATCAGTGCCGCCTATCAGTGCCGCCTATCAGTGCCGCCTATCAGTGCCGCCTATCAGTGCCGCCTATAGTCCGTGACCGTGACCCCTAATTAGTGCTGCCTATCAGTGCCGCCTATCCGTGCCACCTCATTAGTACTGCCTATCAGTGCCCTTTAGTGCTGCCTATCAGTGCCCATCAGTGCCCATCAGTGCCGCCTCATCAACGCAAATCAGTGAAGGAGAAAAAATACCTGTTTGAAAAATTTTATAATAGAAACAAATAAACTTTTTTTTTTTTTCAAATTTTTTTGCACTTTTTTTAATTTATAGCGCAAAAAGTAAAGCGCCCAGTGGCGATTAAATACCACCAAAAGAAAGCTCTATTTGTGAGAAAAAAATGATCAAAATTTCATATGGGTACAATGTTGCATGACCGCGCAATTGTCAATCAAAGTGCGGCAGCGCTGAAAGCTGAAAATTGGCCTGGTAAGGAAGGGGGTATAAGTGCCTGGTAGGCAAGTGGTTAAATATGTTCTGTGCTGTGCTGGAAAAATGCAGCCTGTTCTACATTTTTTTTCTACTTTTTTTTAAACTGTGTGTCCTGTGCTGGAAACACATAAAAAACGCACCGGATAGCACCAAAAATGCACTGGAATGCACATGTCCCTATTTGAATTGAAGAAAAAGAGAGGGGGAAAAAAAGAACTGGAAAGCATTAAAAACGCACTGGAACATGGCAAAAAAACGTCAAAAACATGTCAAAAACGCGCTTGCAAAAACGCATCCGGAACACATGTGGACTGCGTTTCTATAGTGTGAACCGACCCTGAATATATATTTTTTTCTGGGGACCAACAGATAGGTTGATTCAGGGTCTAATTTAATAAAATCAAATTATATATGTTTTGCAATTTATTTCACAATTTAAAAAAATATAACAATGCTGCATTTTTTATTTTGCTTAAAATAAAAAAAAAAAACTTTTTTTTATTACTTGGGTATCCCCTTCTCCCTCCTCCCAATGTTATGTGCTGTGCTGGAAAAATGCAGCCTGCTCTACTTTTTTTTTCAACTGTAACGCACTGGAACTGCAAGCAATGATGTGAACTATGACATTGACAACCATATAACCTACTTTCTGTGTGTTTTGGATGCAGAAAAAAAGCAAAAAAGCACACTAAAATGTATGTAGTGTTAACTGGCCCTTAAAGCAAGAAAAAAAAAAAACAAACCAACACACTTTAATTAAAATGTAAAAATTACTCACCTTTCGGCTCATCTTCATTTTTTTCTCGTAATGTTTATGTTTTAAGCTTTACATTTGTATTTTTTAATTGGGTTTACTGTGCTTGGTCACCAGGGCAGGTAGTGAGGTGAAATCTCCCCAGCACAACACAGCAATAAAAACCTGCAGGAATAAAAAAAAAACACCATTATTATAAATTTTTTTAGAGTGAAAAAAAAACCAAATTGGCATATTCTACTGTATAGAATTTTATTCTATTAAAGCAGACCTTGCATGAACATGCAAGGTCTGCTTACCAGTTAGCCCCCCACAAAAAAAGCACTATTTAAAGTTAAAAAAATAAAAACATTTTAATAAAAAAGTTAAAAAAATACCTTTCAGCCCACCTTCCTTTTTTTTCCTAATGTTTACTTTTTTAGCTTTACACCTGTATATTTTATTTGGGTTTATTGTGCTTGATCACCAGGGCAGGAAGTAAGGCGAACTTGTCTCAAAACAAAAACACAGCAATGAAAAAAATGCAGCAATATTGTACGATTTGTTTAAAAGCAACAAATTGCATAACATGTATCATTTCATTTTATTAAAGCAGAACTTGCAGAAACATGAAATTTCTGATTATCAGTTAACCCCCTAAAAAAAGCTCAATTTGAAAGATAGCAAAAAAATAAAAACCTCTAATTAAAAGGTAAAAATGACTCACCTTTCAGCTCACCTCCACAATGGACCTGTGTAACAGTACAACAGTTGCAGCTATGTAGTTCTGCTCTGGTATGTTGGCAGCCAAATCTCACCCCTAATCAGAGTGAAATGCGTAAGTGGGATCATATCTGGAAGAATGGATTGTGCATTACAAGCTATGTTACTGCTACAATAAAATTGATTGAAAAAAAGAACTTCAGCAGAGTGTGATCAGAATTTGTGTGACACCCCAAAATGAATAGGCTGCCTTTCCACAAATCATCATGGAACATACAGTTGCAAGAAAAAGTATGTGAATTCCTTGGGATTACGTGGAGTTTTGCATGAATTGGGCATAAAATGTGCTCTGAACGTCATCTAAGTCACAACAATAGAAGAACACAGTCTGCTGAACATAATACTACACAAACATTAGATGTTGCCATGGTTTAATTGCACATAACATGTAAACATTCACAGTGCAGGGAGGAAAAAGTATGTGAACCTTTGGACTTAATAACTGGTTGACCCTCCTTTGGCAGCAATAACCTCAACCAAACGTTTCCTGTAGTTGCAGATCAGACCTGCACAACGATCTGGAGTAATAATTTTGGACCACTCCTCTTCACAAAACTGTTTCAGTGTAGCAATATGAAATTTTTATAATTTTTTTCACACAAATAGAGATTTATTTGGGTGGTAAAAATAACAAACTTATTGGCAGGGTCAACAGGTGAAAAAAAAAAGGAGAAAAAGCCTCAAAAAAGAACATATATCCTATGATATATAAATTTAAGATAATGGTCTAGCACATGAAGAACCCCCGAGAGGTAGCTGGGGAGGGTTTGGGGATTGTCCACCACAGAGACCCCAAGAGGGAAGGAGAGGGTCAAGAGGACAAAGGCCTGCTTTAGGTTCGAGGCCCATAAGGGAATGAGATGGAGAGTAGCAGAAGGATGCTGCTCATCTGAACTTGGGGTTTGCCCTGAAGACACCAGCACTGGAGCATGCCTCCGAAGGACTTGCATTTGCATGAGAGTGCCTCTAAAGGACTGTTACTGCTGGACTACACCTTCGCATTTACACCGGAAAGCACCTAAGACTGTAGTTAGTACTAGGGACTTAGGAGAAAAGACTGTGTCATGTTGGAGTCTGTACTGTCTACACTTTATTCAGTAAATCATTAAAACTTTGCCTTTTTCCTGGTCTGAAGTTACTCAAAGGGGTGTAATGCAATTAATTGGCACAACTGTGCACCTAGTCTACAGCTTGGGTCATTAGCCAATGTTGTATGAAGAGTCAGCACATTAAGCCTGACATAATCGTGTACCTGTTATGGATGGAATTGCCTCAAGGCCACGAGGAAGATGTTGTTGGCACTCCATACACCGTAACCACAGAGGTACCCATCCTGTACGGAGGTACAGAAGTTCAAGAGTTAAAGTCAAGTGCACGTTGGAGCCCACACTATGTGCATTGTGGAGTTCCATGCTGCTAGCTGGATTGGTAGTGAGAAACGCTGGACAGGTGGCTGTGGTCAGTGTTCGGCATAGCCCACCTAATTGCAAACTATAGTGGGAAGATGTACATTTACACGGGGACCCAAGAGTAAATAAAGAACAGCTGTTGAGCAAGTGTACGTGGTATATCAGTCATCTCTAAAGTCAGAGGTCCGCCTTTAGGTCGAGTATTCCACCACGGTAGCCTCAGATTTGTCCAAAGGCATTGATGAAATGGAAGTAAAGCAAAGGTACCCCATGTGTATGAGTGACTATGTCTCATGTGCCTAGCCTAGCTCAGAATATCCCCCCCCTGGGGTAGTCCTCTTATGTGACCCAGACTTGGCGCCCAATGAGTTAATTGGGAAAAAATGGCGGAAGGTCTGACATCACCCACCTACCCCCCTTACGTACTGAAGGCTCAAACTGTGATATAATAGCCTAGAACAGGAAATAGACCAAGGATACTATTATGTTCCCATGGGACTTTACACTGTCTGCACCATTATTAGGCAAGTTGTATTTTTGAGGATTAATTTCATTACTGAACAACTACAGTGCTCTCGGTCAATCCAAAATGTTAAACCTCAAACCTGAATATTTAAGAAAGTAAAAGTGAGGTTTTGGCTTTCTTAGGAGAATATCTATATTATCGGGCAACTATTAGTATACAGAATTATTATGCAACTAAATGAAAAAAAACGAAAAATTTCCCATCTCACTTGTTCATTTTCATCTGATTACAGATTACAGTAAGAGATCAGTCAAACACTGTTTACTAAGAAGCGGTAAATTATATCGCTGCTTCGTTTGCGGTTCCTCCTATTCTCCAGCTCTGAGCTGGAGAATCTGGAGGGAGAACACAGATTGCCAGTGAAGGGCTGAGATTGCTCCTTCATACACTGGCCATCTGTGTACTGAGATGATCAGTGGAGAACATGTTCTCCACTGATCATCTGTTTCCTAAACCACTAATGATCGGAGATCAGCAACGATCCTCAGGATCGCCTCTGATCTCTGTTTCATAAAAGGACACCTATATGTCTTGCTCATTGGTGGTCGGGTTTCAGCCTCCCCTACCTTGGCTATGTCACTGAACACTGAACACCTTGTACTTCTGGATACTCCAGGTAGGTTGCAGTTCTGGAATATGACAGCACTGGAGGATAATGGGTTCCTGGTAGCTTCACTTTTGATTCATCTCAAATCATTGGCAGTTAATTTGTGTCTTTTTTTTAAAACATGTTTCTTGTGACCCTGTTGACTATTTGCAACAAAACATTTGATGGTTCTGTGGTCACGCCCCAATATCTTAGCAATTTTAATGCAGGCCATAGATGGGTCGTTATCGGCCAAATTTTCATCCGCACGAAAAATCGGCCGATATTAACAACGTTAGTGGGGCAATGCCGTCGGCCATTTTTCATGGATCTTCTCGTTTCTTTTTATCGGTCATACTGGAAAATTCGCCAAAAACGAACGTTTTTCGTAGACATTGGTGGCAGCATCAGCAACGACCGATTTTTCGTTTATCGGTTGCAGCCTAAGAGTGCTGCATCCCTCTGAAAGACATTTTACAATTTTTGACTTTTCAGAGTCTTTTAAAGTGTTACTAAACCCAGGACTCTGATATTTAGTTTGGTAAAGGACAGTGTATCATAAACTTCTGTGCTGCTGATCTTCTCCAACTTCTGGCAACCACGTCCTGTCTTCATACACCCATTTCAGTGTCTGCTGCAATTATTCTGGACTGATGATAGTGACTCCAACAGACCATGCCCTGTGCACTGTGTGTCAGCACAACTGCTTTTAGTCACCAACATGCAGGAATATAGTTTTAGAGCCAATTGTCACCCTATATCAGGAAGTGCCTAATCAAGGGCCTTCAAGTGTTACTAAACCCAGGACCCTGCATTCACTATATCTGGTCTCCCACAGTACACACAACATAGAACTACAATTATTTTAGTAAATATAAACTGCTAAATACCTTTTCTCATCAACAGTTAGAGCAGTCTTGTAACTTCAGCAGAGCACTGGTTAAAGCTTGTAGGAGGAGTTTTCTTTCTGCTCTAGGAGGATGCAAAACCCCTAACCCTCTGTCTGGAGAGTGCTGATTGGCCCTGTGCTGATCACATGCACTCTCCCAAGGAAAAGTAAAACTCTCTAGCAATACACACCAAACTGAGCATGTGCATGTGGCTATGGGTTCAGTCTGTCTTATCAGGTGGACATTTGAACAAGAGGAGGGGCAGAGAAAACAGGATCAAAGGGCCTTTTTACACAATGCAGAGGATTAACCCCTTAGGTTCCTTAGTGAGTATAACAAGCATGCTTTACTGCATATACAGACTGATTTTATTGTTGTGGGTTTAGTAACACTTTAAATCTATTTTTTGGCCCATTTTGCGTGAGGAAAAGAAGCTGCCTATAAATTATGCACACCTTTATAAAGGTTGTTGATCTCTTTAGGCTATACCCTCCCTCATTACACAAATGCATATCAGCTGATATGCTTAAATCCAATAAACATTCAAGTTTATACAGCTTGGACAATATGCATAAAAAATTATGATTTGGTCAAAATACTCACTTGCCTAATAATTGTGCGCACAGTGTAAAGGCAAAAGTGTGTAAACTATAGTAAAAACATGTCTTTATTTACAACAGGTTAAAAATAACATAAATTTGAATAACGGCTTGTACAGTATGCAGTATGTTATTCTTAACCTGTTGTAAATATAGACATGTTTCTACTTATATAGTTTACACACTTTTGCCTCTCATGTCCCATGGAAACAAACATATTGCCAAAAGTATTGGGACAGCCCTCCAAATCATTGGATTCAGGTGTCCCAATCACCTTCATGGACACAGTTGTATAAAATCAAGCACCTAGGCATGCAGACTGCTTCTACAAACATTTGTGAAAGAATGGATCGCTACCAGGAGCTTAATAAATTCAAGTGTGGTATCGTGATAGGTTGTCACCTGTACAATAAGTCCATCCGTGAAATTGTGAAATTTCCTTGCTACTAAATCTTCCAGGGTCAACTGTTAGTGGTATTATAACAACGTGGAAGCAACTGGGAACAACAGAAACTCAGCCATGAAGTGGTAGGCCACGTAAAATGATAGAATAGAGTCAGCACATGCTGAAGTGCATAGTGCGCAGAAGTCACTATCTGTCTGCAGATTCAAAAGCTAAAGACCTCCATATTTCGTGTGGCCTTCAGATTAGCACAACAGCAGTGTATAGAGAGCTTCATGGAATGGAGTGACGAATCACGCTTCTCTGTCTGGCAATCTGATGGACGTGTCTGGGTTTGGTGGTTGCCAAGGAGAATAGTACTTGCCTGACTGCATTGTGCCAAGTGTAAAGTTGGTGGTGGAGGGGGTGTGACAGGCGCGGCGTCAGACCCCCAGCCCTTCTCACCAACTCATGACCGAAGGACTAGCCAATCTAAAAACCGTACTGTCACGTGCGTAACAATGCCACGCTCAGCTGCACCCTGCACAAAGATTTTCCAGCTCACTGGACCACAATCTATGTGCCGCAGCCTGAGAGCAATTACTGGGTCAGGTTAATGCAATTAACCCTTTACACTGCCACCACCACCTTTTTTTGTACAGAGAAGGAGGAAACTCACCAATCTTAGTAGTAACACTATGATGTTTGAATAAGCATCTGTATACACACTGTCACCGCAGGCAGATGTATGCAGAAGTTTAAAACACACAGTAGCACTCTTCAGAGACAGGGATTCTTAGTTTGCATTAAAGAGCTTTAGAAACAGTTCAACACTTTTCAGAAAATAGGATTTATTATTAAAAAGGTCAAAATGGTGCAATAAAAATATTTACAGAAAAATATGTAGCCAATATATATATATATATATAAATACAGAGAGCAATAACACAACAGAGAGATAACAGAAAGAAGTTTAAGAATGTAGAATACTTGCAGAAGTCCTGGTTTAAGCAGCGTTCAAGTGTCCTGAACAAAAGGGTACCGTTTCTCCCAAAGTTGGTTCCTGATGTTAAAAGGTAGATCTCTTCATCTTTTTTCTCTCGGGCCTGACAGCCTCTTTTCTAGTCCTCCAACAGGGGGTGTCTCTGAAGCCAAGGGCCAATCGCCTCATGTGGGGAGGGGGTGTAGGCGGAGACCCAGGCTAGTACCAAAAATCCCTCTCAAGTTATACCATGGTCAATCACCTTCCATAGGTACATGTAGCATCCTATCCACTGGTAGGATAATATGCAGAATTATATTCTGAACATCCAGACACCAAATATGACATATTTGCTTGGATGGTTAGGGAGATATCGCCTTCTGCTCTCGGGTAGACGTAATCTAGGGATGTATGGTATCAGGTGACTCACATTAAAATTGATCTGTCTGAATATATGTTTTGTTTCATTGTATGTATTTCCTGCGAAAAAGTTATGAAATTAAATGAAAAGTGGTTTCCAAATGAGATGTATGTTTTACTGCTATTCCGGATTGCTTTCAAGTCCAGTGACTGGCGAATTTATAAAGAACCAGCAAACACAAATGCTCCTGCGCTTGGGGATGGACTCGATGCTACAACCACATTAAGAATGTCCTGGAACATGCACACCTTGCTGCCCTCAAATGGACCGGGGGGAATCCAAATATACTGAATGGGGAAAGAACAAAAAGAGGGCGCACAGGCCTAGTGCATTACCATAAAAAATGTTTAATAAAAAATAAAGTAGGTGTTGTACTCACAAACGACAATATAGTCAAGCACATCATAAAAGAACAGCTGGGTCAACACCGCGCTGAGTAACAGTCCGCAATAGGGAGTTTAGACATCCAAAAGGCTGACGCGTTTCGAGGACTTGCCTCTTCCTCAGAGCCAACTGACCAAATGTCTGCTCCCTCTTTTATATGCTCACTACTAGTTAAACCAAAGGTCACATGGGCCATCCTGGACACTCCCCTGTGCAGGTGGAGGAGTCACAGGGGCAATCGACATAGTGTAAGTAAACACGAAAGGTCTATAAAAAAAAAAAAATATATATATATATATATATATATGTGTATAAATAAAACCATTGAAACTAGTGACAATCATAAAATCATATGAACCATAAGAAGTGTGCACAGTGAAAAATGAATAAATAAATGGAAAGTTACACATATATAAAAAATAATAAAAATCCTTCCCTGGTGATGCACTGCACTGCTCGCCTTTAAATAAATGGATGGATGGATGAGCAACGCTACGAAGCTGCCTAGTGCTCTGCTTGCCATAGACAACCATGGGACATGGATTTAATATAGAGAGTAGATCTGAAACCCAGCAGAGACACTTATTAATTCATAGAGATGCAGCCTACAGGGTGTGGGCCTCTCATTCTAGTATAGTCATATGATGAGACGTAGGCATGTGTGGCAATGTAGTGCACCATGGATGGATATGCATATGCAATACTATATACAAGAACAAAGGAGATAAATCACTAGTAAAACATAAATGTTGATATAAAACGTTACAAAAAACTTCTTAATATGGCTCACAAAGTTTAAAATAAAATAAAATGTAACAAATGTAACATCTGGTAAAATTGGTATAGTGTATACAATGGTGAGCAATAAATGGGCATAAAAAAACAAATATATATAAAAAGAAAAAAAAAAACTTATAAGGAGGCAAACAGTAAATAAAAATCCATCAATTATATGTAAAAAAGTATTTGGGTTATATTGAATCCATCAAAAATTCAGAGGTGGAAGAAAAACAAAAGCACTTATGTAAGAGGGAGACCTATTGGATCTTTCACATCTGGTTCCCTCTCACCCACTGGGCAAAAATGAAGCTTTTTGAGAAACATGTGTATCATCATACATAAAAACACACACCATATATGAATGAAAAAAGGTACCAATTCATGCTGAGAATGCACATGTTCCCTAAGGGTGACCAATAAACTGAATCCTTTTGATCTCTCTCCTAACCTCCTAAAATTTTTTTTGAATATCTCTCCCCCTCCTCTTTAGTGATAGTTCCATCATAGGTCAAAAGGGAAATGTGGACCTAGCACTAAAGAGTGGGAGAGAAGGAAAAAAAAAAAAAAAGAGGGGGTTTGTAGAAAAAAGGATATATTCATTTTCATCAGCTATGATTACTATAGTATCATCAGTATAGCTACCATTACCCTGCATCCTTACACATTAGGTTGCTCACTTCATATTTATTGTGTCACCCTTAGGCGATTGCGTATGACCGCATTCCCATGCGCTTGTGTCTATGGGTCATTCATTGGTCACCCATTTTTTCATTCAGTTTCCATATGTGTGTGTGTGGGGTTTATGTATGTATGTATAGACATGTTTTTTACTAAAAAGCAGTTGCTCATGTGGATGTGGTACACACACATATGCGCACGCATGTTGTCCAGTGAGCTCTCTTCGAGCACTGCTTTCTCATCCTGCAAGTGCTTGTTCCATAGCGCCTTTGACATTTTTATATAGTTCTTATATATAACACATATATACATCTTTTGTACATATAATTATTAATTTAATTTTTTTTTTTTTTTATTATAATTTTTTTTTTTTCTTTTCCTATATATTTATATTTCTTATGCTTCCATGTCTATGCATACACACATATACCATACACTATACCAATTTTACCAGATATTATACTATATTGTAACAATACTTATTTAATTTTATTTTATTTAAACTTTGTGAGCCATATTAAGAAGTTTTTTGTAACGTTTTATATCAACATTTATGTTTTACTAGTGATTTATCTCCTTTGTTCTTGTATATAGTATTGCATATGCATATCCATCCATGGTGCACTACATTGCCACACATGCCTACGTCTCATCATATGACTATACTAGAATGAGAGGCACACACCCTGTAGGCTGCATCTCTATGAATTAATAAGTGTCTCTGCTGGGTTCAGATCTACTCTCTATATTAAATCCATGTCCCATGGTTGTCTATGGCAAGCAGAGCACTAGGCAGCTTCGTAGCGTTGCTCATCCATCCATCCATTTATTTAAAGGTGAGCAGTGCAGTGCATCACCAGGGAAGGATTTTTATTATTTTTTATATATGTGTAACTTTCCATTTATTTATTCATTTTTCACTGTGCACACTTCTTATGGTTCATATGATTTTATGATTGTCACTAGTTTCAATGG